ATAACGAATAGGAAAGAACAATGACCTCGAACCGTGAACACAATTGTACAATGTGCGTGGGTTCCACAACACATGACAGAAGAGGACACTGTGCTCAACAATCATGAGACAATAGACCTCTTTAGCTTATCCATTTAAGGCCCTTCGATAATTGACGTGCATATGTACGCAAAATTTACATTCTCTTGAGACCTGAGAGGTGTAAAAAAAAAAAACAAAAACAAGCTGAAGAAGTCTATCTGATTAAAATCAATAAATATGGTGTTACGATCTTGTGAAGAAAAATTGCAGCCAATCGCATAGAAGGGACTCTTAAACAGAAGCTCTCAAGCCTAATTCTACCTGTCTTAGACAAAGTTTTGAAAAAGGCTTTACACATGTTTGGGGGTAATACCACAACTAGGGACGACAGCAAGTGGTTCTTGATCCCAACACACACCTTTTTAATGTTTTTAGCTTTTGACAACGAAGTATGATAACAAAGTGTAAGATGACTTATTTGTACCACGTAATACCATTGAGTGACTGAGTATCATGCTGCTGTCTAGACAGGAAGCTGAATGTAGATAATCAAGTTGAAGAAAGTGTTATTTTGGAACTTGGCAACAAATAGCCACCAAAAATTACTTCTGTCTCACTTAAAGCTAAGAAAAAGTAGTTTATTCATGTGAATTTTACGTATCTCTGAGCTCTCAGATAGATGTTATTTGTTTTATTTTAGTTCTTGCAAAGGTACTAAATGGTCATGTACTGACCACGTTTGCCCTGGAACATGCTCCGTTTACGGTGAACTGAATTACATCACCTTCGACGACAGGAGGTACACTTTCAGTGGGGCCTGTGATTATGTCCTTGCTCAGGACTCTTGTAATGACGCCTCTTCGCGTACTTTCCAAATCCAGGCCCAGAATGTCCCTTGCGGGAACAGTGGCGTCACGTGCACAAAGCAAGTGACTATCACGCTCAACAACACGGTGGTCACTCTTGAGAGGGATCAGCATCCCGTGATATCCTCGAGGCCGGGTGCTGCAGCCTTGAGCATGATTGAAGAGTTTCAAATCAGAGAGCATCACTTCTTTACCGTGTTAGAGACTGGCTTTGGTTTAACAATCACGTGGGACAGAGGAACAAGGCTATATATCACTTTGGATCCCAAATTTACAGGTGAGTGGAAATTTTATTGGTGTTTGCTATGGCATGAGAGAATCAAACTTATCATTATTTGGCGAGGTAGTCCTGAGTTAAAATCTAGGCGCTCTTATTGGTTCTTCCTGGGTCTGAATTTTGCCATACAGACGGTTTCCACGTAAAAGGTCTTGAGCCGCGTGTTTTTGTTCGCGAAAGCCGGTTGATTCAAAATAAACAAGTTTGGTCCAAGTGCCGTATGATAAATAACTAACCTGAGATAAGTAAATTCCCTATTCCCGGTAAGACGATCACCAAGACCTGTCTCAGTACAACTCTGACAATGAGTTACATTCAAGTCTAAAGAATATTCCCACCGGTATTTTAGGACGACAAAACGTTGTAGCCTTGCCTCATTGGCGTTTGCAGATTTGAATATCAAAAGTCAATTATCCGTCTTTTGCATCACGTGACATGTTCATAGCACATCTTTGTTTTTCAGGGCGAGTGTGTGGGCTATGCGGCAATTTTAACGGTGACAGAAATGACGATTTCATGACACCACAAATGTTGCCAGAGACCTTAGCGAATGACTTTGGCGACAGCTGGAGGGTCGAGTCATCATGCCCGGATGCAGTCATACCCAGGAATCCCTGCGTGATAAATAAGCATCGTGCACCATGGGCTCACAAGATGTGCAGCATCATCAGATCAGATGTGTTCAAGCCTTGTCATGAAGTCGTAAGTCCTGGGCCTATTGTAACACAAAATAGGTTGATAAGGTTATTTCGAACAGGAGACCAGTTTTTATTTATCACCTGAGGAGAGGGGGAGGGGGAGGGGGAGGGGGAAGGGTCAGTATTGGAGGATTTAAGGGGGTCACATAGTTTTCAGGGGGAACGGAGGGATCAGTCGTCGCCAACAGAGCATAAAGGGGAATCAGAGCAAATTCACTGCCGATTAACTGCCAATGAGGCGGGGCGGGGGAGATCATAAGAACACTAAAGAGTCTTGTGGGGGATGGGATAAAATTTATCGTATCCTCCAAACCCCCCTTCCCCCCTCCCCCAACGGCAGTAACTAATCATTGGTTTATGGCAGATGTCGTGTCACACTTTACTTGATTTAAAAATTGCATTGACGAAAAATTTTGAACGTGGGTCATTTTTAATCCAACGTGTTCCATACTTTATCAAAGAAAAGCTGAGCTTTCCCCGAGTTTTGTCCTACATTTAACTCTCAGGTAAACCCGGATCCTTGGTACGATGCATGCTACCGCGATGCTTGTGCTTGTGATAGCGGTGGTGACTGTGAGTGCTTGTGTACAGCAATCGCCTCCTATGGCCATGAGTGCTGCAAACATAGTGTGCCAATCAAATGGAGAACGCAAGAATTGTGTCGTAAGTATCGTAGGGATGTTAAACGAGTTGAATTTTTATCTTGCATACAAACGAAATTCGAAACAGTCAAAAACTGTAATACATCCGAGAAAAATAACTTCATAGAAGCAGTCTGTAACCTTGGAAACCAACGGAAGGGTAAAGTCTTTAAAAATCATCGACACGGCTGTTGCATCTTAAAAACTTGAGCCTGAACGTTTCACAATTTTCTTTACAAATACAGGTTACCCTTTCTCTCTCGTAACCTTCCTCTTTCCTCCACGGTTATTTCTCTATGTTAAATTCCTTTTTCTACCGTAAGAATTACTTGTTTCATTCTATGATTTTACGTTGGCTCAAATACCCGTATTACAGCAGTTCTGTAAGTATCAATTAAATTTGAACTACATAATATATTTAGGCCTGTGGGTGGGACTGTTCTCGCCAATGATTATTATCCTTTTTTTCCAAACACAGCTATCCAATGTCCTAGCGAGGACGGTCATTGCTTTGAGTACACGCCCTGTGTTGCAGGTTGTCCCAGGACATGTGAAAACCAGTGTGAAGCCAATCCTGCCCGTTGTCCCGTAACATTTGAAGGATGCTCTTGCCCAAATGGAACAGTGCTGCATGATGGGAAGTGCATTTCTCCCAAAAGCTGTCCGTGTAGTTTGGATGAGATTGACCATGAACCTGGATCAATTGTGGTGATAAACTGTCAACGATGGTAAGACAGTTGAGGAGGGATCCTCCAAAGAATCATAGAGTTTTTTATGATTTATTTGCCAAATGTGAAACAAGAGCTAAACTAGAAAGTAAAAAGGCGTTTCGCTCCATACACCTCTTATTACCCTTACCCTAGCGACTTAACTCAAGAGATTGCACGCAATGCTCAAGAAAAGAACTCAGTGCACTCCAGCTGCCACTATTGATTTAATAATTCTTTATATTATCTTCTTTTTAGTACGTGTGAGGCTGGATGTTTTTCATGTACTGGTCCTTCTTGCAGATCATCAGGTACGAAAAGCCATTATCTTTAAACCTAAGTAAGGCACCAGCACGCGCGCCTACTTAGCCCAAAAGTATTTCTTTCCCAAACTAGAGAAAAGCTTTTAACTGCTGTGAAAATGATTTTAACTATTTATTCGTTCTAACAGCAACACAAACTACATGGATATCACATTCCCAACAAGCAGCAGCCCACGTAACATTGCCAAGCTCCGTAATAGCAGCTCCACGTGAAATAGCAACCAGTGGTTCCCTTATGGTGACGCCATTATACTCAACAGCAAGAGAAATTTTTCAAACAGCAATTTTTCCAACAATATCATCACGCACAACAGTAACCACAAGTTCTCGATTAGCCGTACAGCACGAAATAGTCACAGTGTTCTCACTGATAAAAGCATCACGCTCCTCAGTGCCAACATTTATCATTCCAAGAGTAACCAGAAGTGGTAAACTTGCAACGTCACCCTCCATTCCACATTCAAAAGTGACGAGAATATCTCTAGCAGCAACAAAACCTTCAGATGTGACAGAACGCTACCTTATAGCAACCTCCCCTTCGAAAGTAACATACGGTTCATTACCGACACGAATATCTTTAAATGAAACAGAGATTTTACTTCCGGCAGCATCCTCTACGAAAGGAAAAGTAAGTTTTATACTGGCAGAACCAAGTTCAAGAAAATCGGAAAGCTCCTTACCAGGAGGGGTAACTTCAAATATGACAGTAGCTAGTTTACCTGGGACATTACGTTCAGAAGTGACGGAAAATTTACTCTCTACAGCACCAGCATCCTCCAAACCAGTAGCATCTCCTTTAAAAGTGCTGACAAGCTATTTAATAACAACACGAACCTCAGAATTGGCAGCGAGTGCTCCAACATTAGTTCCTTCTTCAAAGGTGATTGCTACCTCTCTACAAACGGCATCAGCCGCTAAAGAAATTACAATACTAGAAACATCTCTAGCAAAGGAAAAGACGATTCCTTTAAAGGCCACGCAACTCTTAAGAAGTTCCCCTCTAGAAACTCCACCTCAAAAATCTTCAAAGGTAATAGAAAGCTCCCCACGAGCGGTGCCACCTTCAAAAGCGACCGAAAGTTCTCTACCAGCGACATCAACTACAAAAGGGACAGAAGGTTTCCTAACATCAGTACCATCTGCAAAAGGGGCCATAACCTTCCTATCGGCAGTGCTGACTACAAAAGTAAGAGCACACCCCCAACTAGTGGTATCACCTTCGGAGGTGAGGTTAAGTTCCTCATCAGCAATGTCACCCACTGACGAGACAACATTGACCCTAACAGCAACACAACCTTCAAAAGAGACAGTGATACTCCCATCAGAAGCACAAACAAAGGTAACAGATACCGCTTCCTCACTAGGACAAAGTTCAGTAGTGACAGCCAGCTCTCTACCAGAGGCATTATTTACAAAGGTGACCGAGAGTTCCCTAAAGCTGGTACCATTTACAAAAGTGGCAATAAGTTCCCGAAAAATAGCGATAGTTAGGATAGAAACAAGTTCGGCACAAGAGGCATTACCAGAAATGTTAGCAAGTGCCTCGCAAAAATCAGCCGGCATTAAGGTGGCAGCAAGCTCTCCACCTGCAGCCTTATCATCTCTCGTAAAAACAAATTCCCTGCCATTATCAGTACCTGTAGAGATGACAGCAAGTCTCCCAACGCCAGTGCGGCCAACAAATATGACAATTAGTTCCGTACCACCAATGCCAAAACAAACTGCATCTTCCCTTACCACAGTGATAGCCTCAACAGTGCAGTCAACAATTTCACTGAAAGCGTCATCAAAAACACTAGAAACTCCATTATTAGCATCATTAGCATCACCAGCATCAACAGCATCGCCAGCATCAATAGCATCAACAGCATCAACAGTAACAACAGCATCAACAGCATCATCAGTATCACCAGTAAAAACATCATCAACAGCATCACCAGCATCACCTGCATCACCAGCATCAACAATATCACCTGCATCATCAGCATCAACAACATCAACAGTAACAACAGCATCAACTGCATCACCTGCATCACCTGCATCATCAGCATCACTAGCATCAACAGTAACAACAGCATCACCTGCATTCCCAGCATCACCAGTAACGACAGCATCAACAGCATCACCAGCATCAACAGCATCACCAGCATCACCAGCATCAACAGCATCACCAGCATCAACAGCATCACCAGCATCAACAGCATCACCAGCATTAACAGCATCACCAGCATCAACAGCATCACCAGCATCAACAGCATCACCAGCATCAAAGGAAACATTAGAAACTCCATTATTAGCATCATTAGCATCACCATCATCAACAGCATCACCAGCATCAACAGCGTCACCTGCATTCCCAGCATCATCAGTAACAACAGCATCAAAAACATCACCAGCATCAATGGCATCAACAGCATCACCAGCATCAACAGCATCACCTGCATCACCAGCATCACCTGCATCACCTGCTATACCAGCATCAACAGCATCACCTGCATCATCAGCATCAACAACATCAACAGTAACAACAGCATCAACATCATCACCTGCATCACCTGCATCACCTGTATCACCTGCATCACCAGCATCATCTGCATCACCAGCATCACTAGCATCAACAGTAACAACAGCGTCACCTGCATTCCCAGCATCACCAGTAACGACAGCATCAACAACATCACCAGCATCAATGGCATCAACAGCATCACCAGCATCACCAGCAACAACAGCATCACCAGCATCACCTGCATCACTAGCATCACTAGCATCACTAGCATCACCAGCATCACTAGCATCACCAGCATCAACAATAACAACAGCATCGCCTGCATCACCAGCATTAACAGCATCACCAGTAACGACAGCATCAACAGTATCACCAGTAACGACAGCATTAGCAGCATCACCAGCATCACCAGCATTACCAGTAACGACAGCATCAATAGCTTCATCAGCATCAACAATATCACAAGCATCTACAGCATTAAGGGCATCACCAGCATCAACTATTACAACAAAACTATTAATTTCAACAAACATCAAGCCACAAAATACAAGCATTGTTACAATTACTCCTTTGCAATGCCCTCCCAACATGGTGTACACTCCTTGTAAATCAATCTGTGATGAGTCCTGTCAGTACATGAACAACACGTGCAGAAAGACACTTGCAATACCTTGTGTACCCGGATGCAAGTGCCCCGGTGAAACAGTGTTTAATGGCACAAATTGTGTTAAACCAGCAGATTGCATTTGTTTCCATAAAGGAAAGTACTATGATCCAGGCTCCACATGGAATGATACTTGTGATGAGTGCCAGTGTTGGAATAATAGTGTCATCTGCCGACCTGTTCGTTGTCCTCCCCAGCTCGTTCCTTGTCCTAACAATTCCATGGCTTTGATATCTCCTGGACAATGCTGTCAATCTTGTGTAGTACCTGAAAATGAAACAAAATGTATTTCACCCGAGTACAAATGCAGAGATCATAGCAAATGCATTACCAAACACTGGGTTTGTGACGGACAAAATGATTGTAAAGACGGCGAAGACGAGGGAAATTGCACCACCAGTATATCACCGTGTTTTGCATCCTTAGGTAAGCTTATTTGATAATCTTTCGTTTAAAGTATACGGGTAAATGCCACTGCAATTTTTTATCCAAGCGAAAGTGTTTATCAGCTAGCAACGTAATCAGAGGTTTTAAATTAATTTCCTTTCTTTACTGGATAATTTTTGATTCTGCATTGCTAGGATTGTCAGATCGAGCGCCAGATCATTCCTTCGCAGCCTCGTCTTCTGCCAGTGTATATTACCGACCGAGTGAGGGACGACTTAATAATACTCATGATAAAGGAAAGGGAAACGGTTCCTGGTGCCCCAAACCTGACGATACAGAACCATATCTGCAGGTCCAGCTGGACTCCTTACGGAAGGTGACCGCGGTAGCAACCCAAGGACATCCATTTCTTCACAAATGGGTGACATTGTTTCGAATGTCATATAGTCGGAATGGAGTTACCTGGACCAAAATACAAAAGGTGCCGTTAACTGTATCATTTTCCTTCTGATTGTGCAATGTGAGATAGAATAGGCGTGTCGGTGCTCACTCCTACGCGGTCATTTACATTAACGAATTTCAGTCATGGAAGTAACCCTATTTATTCAGGCGAAATCGCCTCTCCCGGTAATCCACCGAGTATTTCCGTAAACCCTCCGCTTATGTTCTCCATTTTCCTTTTACTCTTCCCCTTAACAAAAACATTTGAATCATATTTTTCATTTTAATCATTAACAAAATTTTTTATCCTACAATCGGAAATCTCGAAACACGGTTGTGTTTACTTGGACCTTTGTTGTCCTTATTACTTAGTCTGATCGCTGCGTGAAGTACAAATGCCGACATAAGAAGCTCCGAAGCGTCTTGTGGTTTAACGAAATTGGAATGCTAAGTTAGCCGAGCACTATATTTATATGGTACAATTTTTCCGGCAGGCATTCCACGCGAACAGGGACCAAACTTCCGTTGTTACAAACAAGTTTCCACAGTCAGTTAAGGCTCTTTACCTGCGAGTGTACCCAATCCAGTCACACACCGATCCATGTCTGCGGCTGGAGTTCTACGGCTGCAACATTAAGGTCGACGTTCCGCCTATTTGTCCTGAAGTTAGGTTAGTGACTTCATTGTTACCGCCTGCCGTTTTCCTTCTCTTAGCTCGATAAAAAGTAAAACCTTCCTCACCCGCTGGCAGCCGACAAAGTTAAAAATAACGAATGGATCCGGTCCTTCATATGTTTGACGACTTCAAACTGATAGTTTTATAGAACCTTTCTGTCTGCTTGGGTTTTCAGTAATATGTTTTCCACAATGCAGATTGGACAATTACTGAATAAGAGAAAAACTAACAGAGCTATCGGAGCCTATCTCACTTTCTGTGAAGTAAAGGCTTATGGGGTATTTAATTCCTTTTAAAGGGAATGGCTCTTTCTTCGCGGTTAGCTCTCCCTTGAATTCTGTAAGGCTTAATCAAACAGTCCTCCAGCAGCCATACTCCTCAGTCCGCCAGTAGCCATACTCCTCAGTCCGTCAGTAACCATACTCCTCAGTCCGTCAGTAACCATACTCCTCAGTCCGTCAGTAACCATACTCCTCAGTCCGTCAGTAACCATACTCGTCAGTCTGCCGGTAGCTATATTCCTCAGTCCGTCGGTAGCTATGCTCCTAAGTCCGCCATTAGCTATACTCCTCAGTCTACCGGTAGCTATATTCCTCAGTCCGTCGGTAGCTGTATTCCTCAGTCCGTCGGTAGCTGTGCTCCTAAGTCCGCCATTAGCTATACTCCTCAGTCTGCCGGTAGCTATACTCTTCAGTCCGCCAGTAGCTATATTCCTCAGTCCGTCAGTAGCCATACTCCTCAGTCAGCCAGTAGCTACACGCCTGGGTGGGGAAAAGGAATGGTGATCGTAAAGTGTCTAGCACAATGCAAAACCCTGGTCAGTGCTCTAGACCGGATCTTTTAGCTCCGAGTCCAGCGAACGGACAAGTGTTTTTGTCTCTCATAAGGACTATTATCATGTCCTTTAAGTGTTTTACGCTCACAATTGGTATATCAACGTATCTTATCAGCCGGGTTAATGGTTCGTGTTGCCCTTACGATGCAGATGTAACAACAGTAAGTGTATTAATCACGAGAACGTTTGTGACGGACGAGATGATTGCGGTGATGGCTCAGACGAGATGACATGCAACCCTTCTACACCATGTGCAGAATTTCACTGTGATAACAACACCAAGTGCATTTCCTTCAAGTAAGTTTTCAGTCCACACACTTGATCGAACCTGGGGTCATTCGTATGTCTACAAATTTGCGATTGCAGTGAACTCTTTTTATTTTATCGCAAACTCACTTAGGATCTCAAACCTGAACAGCGGTTACAGGAGTTGACACGTCATATTAGGACCTTCTAACCCATCCTTTGTGGCTCCTCAGATCAGTAAAACTCTCATTTTGGGGACACAAATACTGCTCCTTCCTGAAAACTGCTCTTGTAGCTCATTATCTGTTAACTTTAATGGATGGACACGTCCGTATTGTTCTTGTACCGTTCGTTTCCCACATGGATAACGTGAACCCTAGATTACTCAGACCAGGAGGTGGGAGATAATTGATTCTATGATATTTTGATATTCACTTTTCATGGCAGTTGAATTTGGACCTATGTCAAGGTGTCTTTTCAATGATAGAGGCAAACATTATGCTAATGGTAGCATTTTCTTAATCGGCTGCTATGGTTTGTGTCCTTTGCCCGAGTCGAAGGTGTTCCGAGAGAGAGGTTCCCCTGTTTTAAAACCTGTAGACCCTATCAATCACGAATTCTTCTTCTCTGCTTTCATCAAGCAAATAGACCAGGATGGAAGGGGCCGTATTCCTGTCAACCTCTGCCAGAACACATTTAGACATTTGTGCGAAGCTTACAGAATAAAATGTAAATTGTGATGGCTTTTAGATTTTAAAAGTGTTTCTGTTAAGATTTGAAATTTAACGTGATTCTAATCAAACCCATAGATCTCTATGTGATGGCCACAAGGATTGTTCAGACGGTCAGGACGAGACTCAATGTCCAACTCCAGCCGGTTCAGCAGGAATCACGCGCACTCTAACACATGCCACCCTGCGGATAACGGCAAGGATAGCAACTCTCGTCTCAACCATCAACCGAAGTTCCCCGAGCAAAACTACGACCCCTCGATTAACAACGGAAATGATGTCACCCGTTTCAGAGATGATGTCACCCGTGTCGAAGATGTTGTCAACTGTGTCAAAGATGATGTCATCTGTGTCGATTAGGATGTCATCCATGTCGGAAATGATGCCACCCGTGTCGAAAATGATGTCACCCGTGTCGATTAGGATGTCATCCGTGACGGAGATGATATCACCCGTGTCAAAAATGATGTCACCCGTGCCGCAGATGATGTCACCCGTGTCAGAGATGGAGTCACCCGTGTCGCAGATAATGTCGCCCGTGTCGGAGACGGTGTCACCCGTGTCGCAGTTAACGTCACATGTCTCGGAGATTATGTCAACCACATCGGAGGTTATGTCACCCTTGTCGGAGATACGAGCGCTTCCTAGTCAAGCTACAGCAAAAATGAGTTCTATTAGCTTACCAGAGAGCACGAAGATGGTCATAACACCTTCAACTTTGTCTGTTGGCACCTCAATGGTGAGGAGAAAGGGTAAGCGTTAAGATAGTAGGTTCGCTTTACTCGAAGTAAGGCTGCAGCACTGATTCTACAAGGCTCTGGTAGATTATGGAATGTTCCCTTAATCACATGATATAAATGCAAATACTTTTAAGGTTGATGCAAGCTAGTTTATTCATAAATACATGTAAATATCCACGAATACTGACAGTAACTGGCTCCTGTGATTCTGTTCCTTGCTTACCTTCTATGCAACGATTTCATTTCAGAGTGCGGAAAAGAATGCATCTGTAGGATGGACTGCTATAGCAAAATCAATTGTGAACGTGGTGCCAATTGTCCATCTTGCATCTGTGACAATGGTACGCTAAAGTGGCAAAATCGATGTGTTGTACCCATGCCTGAGCCATGCTTGCCTCTATGTGACATCAAAGGACACGAATTTCCGGTAAAGTTAAAATAAGCAACCAAACGAAGAGGACTACGTTTGAATGAATGTGAGGCTGCTGCGATGTATTTAAGGAAGATAAATATTCATACTTACTCTTCTCCCTTTTAGTGTCTTTAAAAATAGGAGTAACCTGTTCTAATAGATAGCTTTGTACCTTGGCAACCTACGTCCGCATTGTTGAACATGAGCCGGGGAACTGAGTCGAATAATCTACTAGAGCACCTAAGATGTTAATAAAATTCACATCGATATGTGAAAAACTTAAAAGCAAAACAACTGCGATTGGGGAAGAACATGTTACGTGCCGTGGGCCGACACTCGATTTTTCCCAAGGGCGAACCAAACTCCTAAGAGAAACCATTCGTGCGCTTATTATTCTTATGGGTATCGGGGAAGCAAAACTTATTTTTTTCCTTGGCACCAATCAGTAAGTACTAACACTCTTTCATTTAACTTAACATCACTGAGGGACTACTCATTATTACCCCTGAAGAGAGAGAGAGAGAGAGAGAGAGAGAGAGAGAGAGAGGAGGGGGAAGTTAGTTGGGAGTAAATTCTCTACAGTCCTCCCTTTATTCTCGTTGACCCCCCCCCCCCCCCCTCTTCCTCGGTTCCTCTTCAAAACCATGCAATCCCCCAAGATCCTCCATCCTCGGTGATAAATTATGACAAGTCCACTACTATTATGGAAGAGCCTTATACACTGGATACTTACTTTTTCGTAGATCAAGGATACAATACATGACGGAGAGTGCCGCGTGTGTACGTGCATGAGGAAACCCAACACCCTCAACCAAACAATAGCCGTCTGCAAAACCACATGTACGCTGTCTTGTACTAAGGTACGCATATTGGTTTATGATCAAAGCTACAAAAAATTATTCGAAAAAATCTCAGTTTTGAAAACATGATTGCGTAATTGCCTCTCAATTTCTTTGTTCTGTTTTGTTTGCTCAGGGCTATAAACTCGTTATGCCGGAAAATTCAGCCGGCTGTTGCAGGTGTCAGTTAATAAATGGGACTTCAACCACAGTCAAAATGTATTTGGGGACTGGAAATAGTTTAACAATAAGTGTGGAAAATGCAAAGTCTCCTTCATTATCCACGGCAGGTAAGCACATTGCGACCTCAAAAGAGTGAAAAAGTTGAAAGATGATGCACGCTAACGATGTGAAAATTCACGAACATCTCCTAGGATAAAACTACAGCAACCTCACATCGAAAACATATATCTGGCATACCGTACTGTATAGATATACCCACATCATACATAGATTTAACAAGCACCCTGAACGTCTGAGATGGCCCAATTTGGACATTATCATTTTCCCGAAGCTCACAGTCTTCCTTGGGCTTCGCTCTCTGAAGACCCTTCGTTTCTTAGTAACGAATAGTGTCTACGGACAAATATTCGTGCATATTTTCGCGCAAAAGAGAGGCTAGGGGTTATACATCATCTGTTATTTTCCTTGAGGTCGGATCTAGAAAAGATATCCTTGGATATTTTCTCGCTAAGTGGAGGCTGTTTTGGATCCTAATTTTCTTTTTATTTGAAGAAACGAATTTACTTGGTTAAAGAAAGCCTCAAATTATATTGATAATCAGAACATTATCTAATATCATATTTTCACCGGATAATTCTCTTGATAGCAATTGGAATACTGCTGCCAGGTCACAGTGAACCGGCTCGACCAGGAAACCAAGCTCAACGATTGAAAACACCTACAACAATATCAACCCAACAATTTCTGTTAGTATCAAACATAGAGAGTCTATCAACGACAATGTCTTCGGAGAATTCCAAAACAACGAAGGTAAGAAGCTGGATGGTAACGAGATCTTCGGGAGGGTCAATAACAACGATAACAGCAACAACAACAAAAACAAGAAAAATAAAAACGGTAGTGGTAAATTTATCAACGGTGGAATCAACGGCATCCACAACTAAAGAGCCAGAAACAACAGAGTTATCACGTGCGACACCGGCAATATCCGAAAAGGAGCTAAAACAAACAAAGACAACAGAACCGACATCGCTAATTTCAGCAAAGGGAGGGAGTAAAGCAGTTTCAACAAGTCTTACAGCTATTCTAACCTCATCAATGTCATCTGTAAAAGAATTGACAAGAACACCAACTGTGGGCAGTCTGATATCGACAAAACCCACTCGGGAATCAACGTATAAGTCATTAAGTCCACTATCAAACGTATCTGCAAAGGAGTTTGTTAAAACACAGTTATCATCCCCCACATGGACGGTATCCTCAGAGAAATCAGCAAAAACGACAAGTCCAACAACAACAATAACCACTCAGGAAGCGACAACTGGAAAGGCAACAGGTTTGTCTAAGACAGCGTTATCTCCAACAAAATCGAGAACAATTTCCAAGGAGACAAGCTCGACCACAGCAATGGCCACGGAGGAATCAATGATACAGAAAGTTGGAAGGCCAATAGGTTCGACATTTACGTCTTTTAAACAACAACTGTCAGCAACACCAAAGGTATCGAGCCCGATACCGGAAATATCAGCCCTTGGATCTTTCGTGAGAAAAACAACAATAACAAGCGCCTCAAGCGCAACGTCCGCCACAATTATCCAAGTTCCTTCACCAGGTTAGAACTTTTTTACGAGATCGTTTAAAAGGATAATTTCGTTCATTAGTATCTAAGGATAGTGTCCTTAAAAAAGATACCAATATAACTCCCATATGGAAACCAGTAAATTTATTTGCAAGGATATTACCATTTTTAAGTAATGGGGAAGATCTTCCTACATTTAAGGGATCACCAATATTATCGTATTAGACCTTATAGTTTTTGGTCAGTCTCTAGTATAGTGCATTCTTAATATGCATAACTTAACCCGTTGTAAGTGCCAATTTTTGTAAACATTTCTTTTCGTAAAAAGCCAAGGCTGTGTAAGTGGAACTCTCCTTGTGAGTTCACTTGGAAACTTTCTGTAAATATTCTGGGATTCGTTTTGGAGTTGAGTTGTCATTAATTCTCAGTAACTAGCTAATGTTAGGGTTAAGGGACCGCTCCTCATTCATTATCTGGGGGGGGGGGGGGGGGGGGGGGGGGGGGGGGGGGGAGGAAGGTTTCTGGTTTTGCCACGACAATTTTTACCTGGTTTCCCCTGAGGCATTGTAGAATGCTAATGATCCCCCTCCTGGCCTCAAATGTTCTATGGCCCCCCTTTCATACCCTGCCAAGAGAATATAAACTGTTTATATTCTCTTGTTTCTGTGCAACCAGCTATTTTTGTTCTGACCACATTTTGACGTTTTGACGTTTTGACGTCAGACTCACAACAACAAAGAATCTATTTGTTTCCTATGATAAAAAAGCAAATGTTGTTAATGACGACGTCATCCATACGTCAAACCTTCAATACATCAATCCAAATGCATACGTAATTCAGTTAATCATATGACTAAAATTATCTTATCCTAATCTTTTGCTTACAGTTTTTCAGTCACTGAATCATTATTGCGAAGAGCGATTTAATAATCATGTCTCAATCCGCAGTTTACATATCTGAGTTTCATATATTCACAATCATTGCTTACTTCTTTTGTTTTAATCAACAGCTGTGGTGAGCTCTTTAACAACTCAGTCAGTTCCGACAGTATCCGCATCGACGGTTGTGGGGACACCTACCACGACGACTCTCTCAAAACCAACAACATCAACAGCTCTTCCAAAAAGCACGAGCTTTGCACAAACTTCTTCAGAAACAGGGACTACAAAGCCGACATCAACCTGGGAAATTCCAACAGTTTCTCCATCAACGATGGTGACACCTACTGCGGAACCAATTACATCAAAAGCCGTTCCGAAAAGCACGAGCTTTCCACAAACTTCTTCAATAGCAGGGACTACAAAGCCGACAACATCCATTCAACCAGTAACGGAAATTACAGAGGCTGAAGCTCCAATATCACGATGCAATATCACTTCAGAGCCAAGAAGTATTGTTGACAAATCCGGCTGTTCTAACACTCATCCAATTCAACAGACAACTTGCAATGGTTTTTGCAACTCAAACGCGGTCTTGAACATAACCTCATCTTGGGTCGACATCGAATGTTCTTGCTGTAAACCCAAGAATTTTAGCGTCGCGAACGTGTCAATGAAATGCCCAGATGGCAGTACTAAAGTTTTGAAGTACTTGGTTATTACCGAATGTGGCTGTGAAACTTGTGACAGCAATGCCTATAAAAGAAGGCTGCAAACTGTCCTAGGCGTTTTTCAAGGGAATGTGACTGAAATAACAAATGACAACAGAATGAATTAGGACACTGCATTGCCTTGTTAGCATCACGGACATTGGACATTAGAAAATTTAGCCTTTCAAGCAGACTCTCTACAGCGGGCAGCCGCGAATCCTGCGAGATTCAAGCCAGCGAGCGAGAGGAGCACGCGAGAAATCTAGGAGAGATCTCACTCTTTATGCCAGAACTTGCGCGAACCTCTCGTGCACTTATATTTCTCGCTGACTCGAAACGCGCAGGCTTCGCGAGAGCCTGGTCGGATAAGTTTGGTATGTTTAAGTGATATTTAGAATGTTTCAGACCAAAAGGTGTTAGAAATAACTAAGGTAGAATACAACAGAATGAGGATATGTACATCTTGTCTCTTGGTTACAAAGACATACTACCAAAATAAGTGCAAATACATTATACGTGTGAGCAATGTTCGCACGAAAAAATTGTATTTATGAGTTGCCGGCAGTTTTTAAATTCCAAGCACTTTTATTTCCCTCATGAGCCGAGGCTGAATCGCCACGCCCGAGGCTTTCTTCGCACAGAGAAATTTCCGAGCATTTTCCTCCATCATATGTCATTGAAAAAACATTGTAACTTTATAAAAATAGTGAATATTTAAGATTAAAGTTTGAGTGTAGTTATTATTGAGATGAGTAGCCTGCGAGCAACGCCTTGTTATTAGCGCTTCGGCAGTGCAGTGTAATAGATGCCTGCGCGCTGAATCGAAATTTCCGCCAAAGATATGAAAAATCTATCGAAATAAAGAACGAGTGCATCTGAGTCGAGTTAGCACTTTAAAATTACGAAGATAAAGGCGGCTTTCTTTTAAATTTTCCAAGTTTAAAATCAGCCGATAGCAGGTCATTCAGTTTGAACGAAACTGGCCGAAGAGCTTTTCGGGAATTTTCGGATCGCCCTTCAACTTCGGAAGCTCATAGAATTGCAAATAACTTTCGAATTTAATATTCATATTTACTTCAAAACTTGCACGTGGTGAGAGCTTACGACATGTACGAGCTTTTTTTCAGCTACTTTGAAGCCAAACATATAAATTTAATGATACTGCTATGGATATCGTTCACGTTGTCAAGACCAGCGTTTGCCCGCTTCTTCGAGGTTGCTGACGAGGGGCTTAAATTCGACGTCGAGGATTGATGAATAGTTTCACAAACTTTCTCGAGGTAAATAACTTGCGTATGAATAGAATTTTGTTAGAGATGCAGTGAATTTTGTAGTCTTTCTTGTCTATGACCGTCAAATTCTAGACACGAATATGGGGGAAAGCTTGCTCGAACATAGTACAGCGCAAGAAATTCTCAATGGCGACCGCCATGGTTGGTCGTTTTGGGACCACGAGGCTTTCGGGGAAATAGACTTTATTGCTAGTGTGTTGCTCGCTTATTTACTTGTTTATCTTTCTGAACGTGTTTTAAACATTAAGTAGTTATCTCGCCTTATTTTATTCATAAGGAGTATTCAACTTAATACGAGCGTGCTTGAATTCCTAATGTATTTCTCATATTTTGTCTCCAGGAAAGCGTCAAGCGTTATATTCAATAGAAAGAACTGACTAAGGAGGAACGGATAACATATTTAGCATCCTAGGAGGTTGGTAATTCAGTTTTTAAACAATCAAATTCATTTAAGCTTGTAACTATAATCTGCATTTAACACATAAACCTAGATTGGGTGCATGAAACGAAGTTACAGAAACATAGTAAAATATCAGTTAAGGAATTATTAGTTGATTCATTCAGATATTAAATTCTCCTGACCAAGATCATAAGAATTGCATGGCAGACAGTAAGGAGGATCACTTATGAGATATTGGGAGTGAAAGGGTTAATCAAACAATCGGTATGAAAGTATTTCTAAAATAAATGAACAAAGAGGCAAGTTTCTGGAGAAACTGTGGTGCTGCGTCGGTGGGAGAGAAACGTTTCGAGCGTTAGCCTTTCGAAGGGCTAACGCTCGAAAAGTCAGCTTCGAAACTCTTTACGGTGGCGAATTTACGTCATTACCCAGTTACTTCTAAAAAAGTTCTCTTATTTGTGGGTTAGTATCAAGCAAAGAATGAAATCAGCACAACAATCAAGAATTGAAAGGATGAAAGGAAGGCAAGATATACAACTGTCAGCAAGGTCAGTCAGTTATCTCTGATTATCAAAAACAAAGTTTAGCCTTTGATTAACAAAACCGCGTCCAGAACAATCCTTATTTCAATCTGAACATTTGAATCTGTAAGCAGCGTCAAGAGAGCCAAGAGCTAACAGTGGAAAGACATTCTACTTAATTGAAGCAACCCCCTTATAGAGAAAGCCTGAGGCCCACTGTTTGCGCAAAGCCATGGTTTGGGTTAGACCTCGTGTGAATAACCGGCCCTTAATAGCGAGTTATTGTGTGTGAATATATGTGTGGTCGTCATGGAATGCTTAAACTTGGATTTTACCTACGTCCGAAACCAAAAACTGTAAACAGATAAGTGGGTTAATTTCTTTAATATCTTTGATTGGAATGGTTTTTAAGAAGTTTACAACATCTTTGGTTTCATGAATCATTTTTTTCTATCACTTCGTTTCTGCTGGTGCTAAAACACAAGAGTCAAAGAATTACCGAGTTATTATTGTACTTAAATCTATTTGTTCCACCAAGTTACTATAGCAACCATTTAGCCTGGTAGATGCTCATTTTAATTTCTAAAATAATATGAGAAAAAGTTGTTTTGGCCCGGTATTCCCCATTTTTGATGGTATTTTAGCGACAACTTGTCGGATAAAGTGTTTATTTTTACAAGGCAGAATTTAACACGACGCACAAATGTTTCGTCTTTACCAAGCGATTCATTCCAGGTTTTCAAGGCTAGCTTTTCAAAAATCGTGGTACTAGAATGATGGATAAATTACACTTCTGATATCTTAAAGGGACCGCTCAAAAGTTGCTTTTCTTTGAAAAATAAAAGTCGTTCCCGTTTTATGTACATACATTTCTTGTATTCTCAGTTACACTTTTTTTGCATAACAATATTTCTTTGCCTAGAATAAGTATTAATAAGCATATTAAGCTTCCTCTTAGATTTTTGCCATTCCTATTTGTTTGTTTCATTTCCATTTTTAATTTTTTGTTTCATTTCCTCAGTTATTAAATATATATATTTCAAAATGTGTTTTCATCATTGCTTTTTTAAATCCCTGATACATTTTTGAGTCCATTTTTTTTTTAAATTTATAAACTTTGAAGTCTCATTTTTAGGCGTACGTTCAGACCTAGATATTTGTTTTTCCAATGGCTCTAAGAATTCACCAATGTTATGAGTGTCAATGTAGAACAGGGTTTATTCCTAGAGAAAACTCAGGATCGTCGGTAACAGCAACAAACTGATTTATTTCCACGTAATTGACTTCTCGACTTTACAACTTCACACTTCTCTTTTTTTTTTGATGAAACTATCGCTCTCATATACATAAAGTCCAAGGACCTAGAAAGTTCTCTAAAGAACTAAATTAAGAAGATTAACGCGGTTTCTAAATTTGAGTAATTACATAAGAAGTAGAACGTTCCAGAACGTTCTTTTATAAATTAATTCAAATAGTACGCGCGCTCTGATTGGCCATAAAACCATTTTACATGAGCGTATGTAAACACGGTTTTCGTTCCTCTTTCATTAGTTATTTTATAAAAGAAATGTAAAATGGTTTCCGTGTTTACATAGCCTGATGTAAACACGCGGAAGGTTAGGAGAACACTCGATAAGCTGGAAACCACTCCGCTTCGCGTCGTGGTTTCCTACGTTTATCTTGTGTTCTCCCAACCTCCCGCGTGTTTACATCAGGCTATGTAAACACGGAAACCATTTTACATTTCTTTATTCAAGAATCCTCGCATGGAACAAATTTTTCGAAGGAATAGTGCACTTGATCTCATAGATAAATGAAAACAGGTCTTAGCTGAATCTACGAACGAGTATTACGTGATGATCTTAAGAATGAATTTTATTACAGGAAGAGATTATGGAACAATTTCGTCGACAGAATAGTTCACTTGATTTCATAGAAGAATAAAAACACTTGTCAGCCGAAAATACCTTTGAATGATTTTTAAAATATATGTTATCACAGGAATAGTTTAAACTTCTCATCAAAACGTCGCTCAGGCCTAGTTCAAACGTCGATCTTTACATGTACCGAACCTAATTGCAATTTGGGTCGACTCGAATAATTAAGAGCGGCAGTTGATTCAAACGTCGATCCGAATTTAGTCGATCCTAATTGCAAAACTGAACATAACTCCATTGTAGTCAGCGGTTAATGCCTACCAATGGGTATACAGGTATATTTTGTGGATTTAAAACAAGAGGAGCACGAGCCTTCCTCCTTTCCCGCCATATTGTTTGAATGGTTCGAAGGCTTTCGCGCATGGCACGTAAGCGAACTTTCTTGAATTGTGGGTAAAACATAATTATTTTAACGTATGTATAATGTATGCATTAAGTTCGGTACATGTAAAGTACGACGTATGAATCAATGTCGATCTTTTACCGTTCTATCCGACTAGCCGAGTCGGATAGAACGGCACTGTCGATCCGAATACAAATCTGCCGATCCTAATTGATTCAAACGTCGATCTTTACATGTACTTAATAGAAACGTTAGGTTCGGTACATGTAACTTGAAGATCGACGTTTGAACTAGGCCTCAGGGATTCCATTCCAATTTAAATTGTTTGTCTAATATTCATCAGTTTTTCAGTCGCCAAGATTTATATCTGATCTTTATTCGGCTCGGAAAAAAAAAACTTAAAAAAAGAATTATGTTCCTTGACCTTTTGGTATTTTCGTCGAAAGCATGAACGACAGTGCACTTTTGGGATTGATATAAACCCTGAGAATGATCGGAAATGTTATTTAATTAAAAGCTTCGGAAACTTAATTCATTCAGCTATTTCATTTAATTATAAATTCCGTCCTGATCGCAGAAACTTTGAATTGCTGGCATACAAGGAGAGAGTAATTGCTTGTTGAGGCTTGACTGATGACTTTCAATGTGCCAGTTTAAAATAAGAGAGCTCAGTACGTAAACACAACAAGATGAAGAGTAAGCGTATTAGGGGCTAAGTCTTTTCCGATGTCAACAACAACAAACTCCTCGAATTTGAAAAAATATTCCTCAGCATTCGTATTGAATTTATCGGTACATGTAAATCCAGTTACGTCCGCGCTTATTATTACTCAACACTGTTTGATTTCAATACTGATAATATTTGTTTAATAACAGCTAAATAGGTTCAACCTTTAAACTCCCATATTTGACAATTACAGAATTCCTCCTTACAATATCAATACAAAGCAAGCAGACAAGTTATTAGAATAAAGAAAAATGTAAATAAGGGAATTATTAGTTGATCCAATACCAAATTCTCAAAACTAACATCATAAGAACTATATGGCAGACAGTGAGGAGAATTACTAATGAGATCTTGGGAGTTAAAGGTTAACGTTCATATTTCATGCTGGCGAACTCTACTCGATCATTATGGCTCAAAAAAAACTAAAGCAAGATTTAAAACGAATTGCATTTGCTGATTTTTCTTTGTTATTTTTTTTCCTTACAGACTGACTGTTTAATGTCTCTGATACCTCAAAGGCAAATC